GATGTCCCTGGTCGTTCAGATGGTCTAGCAGAAGGATCCCCAGGAAGATTGTCTTCTGAAAGCATCACTTCTTTCACCTCAACCATACCCTCAGTACCTAAAGCAGACTCATCCATATCTTTATCCTTCAGTCGTGAACCCCTGGAACTTTTACCCGTCTTAGAAGAAGATTATGTTCTGCCCTCAGCAACTACTGATTCAGCATTTGTATCACGCTGGTCATTAGCTTGTAAATTATCAGAACACAAGACATCTGAAAGAGCACTACAAAGCGAGGTTTTAGTCAGACCTTGGATTGGGCATACTAAAACACGATCAACCTGTTAGGAAACCACAAACAAAAGAATGAAAAGATATATTAACAAGCATGAGCAACACAAGAGTCACCAGAAATGAAGGCGCATCATAATAGACAATTCTGAAGGAACAAAAATGATTTTTTGATGGATACCTGGAGGTTTCCAGCCGGAAGAGAGCTTTTATCATCCAAATAACTAGAAGATTTATTTGTGGCACGTAATGCACGACGTTCCTCCTTGGGAAGCTTCTGCATTAGTAAGTATAAATGGATAAGAACATATACTAAATGAAAGATGATACAAGAACAACAACGAATAAAAATGAAATCAATAGGACCATCAAGAAATTTCAACTCTATATAACTAAATTCCTAAAGAAAAAACATCAAACTATTTCCGAGCTCCTGCAGTTGTAAGAGGTATCCACAATTCATCTGCCGAAACAGAGGTGTAGTCACATGTATCATAATTACTTGTGAGAAACCACTCTACTAATAAACAGGTAAAACAATATTAAGTTTGTGGAGAATAACCAGTTGTTGCAAAATGTTAAGCATAACAAAATGTCACACTGGTTATATAAGAACTTAAAATAGCCACAATCTTCAGGACAGAACAAGAAACACTACATGCAATATTGACCAAAGACTCTTTACATTAATGCAGAAGATACTCAACATTAAATAAAGAGTATCAGAAAAACAATCTTGAAACGATTCTGAATCTTGTAACTCTACCAAATCTCTGATCACTGATTTTTATTTATATAAATATTTAGTGCTACAACACACTTCAAAATAAGGCGTTTATGCAACATTTCATACAATACATTTTCCCACTATCAGCAAGTAGAATGCCTGATAGAGAACCGGATAGACCTTCATGTGTAAATCATAGGAACAATAGTAACTAAAGAATACTGGCCTTCAAAGAACTCTGGCTCTACACTAAAATTACAAAAGAAAAAACGAGTAAGGTAAACCATAATCTAAGATCAAGAGACACTGAAATAACAAGGAGGTACTTTAACTGTGCACATTTTTAGAAATACTGAACAGAAAGAGTGATAAGATCAAATGAAGTATCACTCAAATCAAAGATGCAGAATCATCAAACAGACAGGAACAGCGTACAATTCGATAGTCATATAAACGATAAATAAAAAAATGTGGAACTGAGCCTTTTCCTGATTTAAAAACGTTATGCACATTGGACAAAGCACAGAGTACTGACCCATAACCACAATTTCATTCACTTTTCCAATGATATGAAAACATATAAGTTAAGAGACTAAATGATGTTCCTCTAAATAAGGTGGTAACTCTACAACGTTACAAGTATCACCATCCGTAATCAAAATTCAAAAGTCTTAATTAAAGATGAGACACAAACCTAGTAAGTAATCTAAGCCTAAGTCTTAACACAGCTTTTATAATATAAACTATTCGTTCCCACAGGTTACCCAGACTCCGTCGGGTTTTTTCGGGCTTACTCATTAGAACCCGAAACCCATCGGGTTTTTTGAATTCGGGTTTTTTTGTGGGCAAGTTTATTTCGGGTTCGGGTCGGGCCGGGTTTTTTTACCCATGACAACATCCCTAGTGCTATTAGAATGTTCCACATTGCTTGAGATTAAGATCTTTGGGTAATATATAAAGGATGTGGCAATCCTTAACTCTTGAGCTAGCTTTTGGGTTAAGTTAGGTCACATTCCTAATATGGTATCAGAGCCCAAGGTTGGCCCAACAAGCAAATTCCCACAAAAATGGTTTCCCACCTATGTGGCCCATATAAATGGCATGTCTTGTTGTATTTCCGAGATGTTGGGCTTGGGTTGTTTCCCGTTGGACCGTTTCCCACCCACATCTCGAGGAGGCCTATTAGAATGTCTCACATTGCTTGGGATTAAGATCTTTGGGTAATATATAAAGGATGTGGCAATCCTTAACTCTTGAGCTAGCTTTTGGGTTAAGTTAGGTTACATTCCTAATAAGTGCCACTAACAATAAAGGTTGATTGGAGATATAAACCCAATTCCCCCAAAGAAACTCAATTAAACCAAATCACACTAAATCAGTCCTAAATCAAACAGCATTAACCTCACACAAGCATCAAAACCCCAACCCAAGCAAGATAAATTACATCAGCAAATACAAAAAGCGGAATTACCTAGCAGCTTTTAGGGTTTGAACTCGAAATAAAGAAGTTTAACAGTCCTCCGATGATCAAGGACGAGAAATTCGGCGACGGAAGTTAGGGATTGAACTCCCGGAGAAAAAGGGGCTTCTTCTTCTTCTTCTTCTTCTTCTTCTTCTTCTTCTTCTAGGGCACGGCCACAAAACGCAGAGAGACACGAAAGGAAAATAAAGTGGTAGTGTCATAATATATTTATTTTTTTCTGACAGAAAATAAAGTGTTTTTTAGTTTAACAGTTGTGGTGTGGTCTTGTAATCGATTTTTTTTTTTTTTCGTCTAAATACAAAGGCCGGCGGGACTTTAACCCCCAGAAACTAAGCCGGCAATCAACTAAATGATCCCAGAAACTAAGCCGACGGATAACAAGATATCCCCGGAAACTAAGCCCAAAAGAGGGAAGCAATGGCAAAACAACGCCAACAACAAAGAGGGAGAAAGCCGAAACTAAAACAAGAGAGATCTAACAATAGACCCAGAATTCAGCACAAATCAAAGAATCTATCAACAAACCAAAAGAGAGACAAGCTTGACAAAGTGGCTAACCGAAAGGGACGAGAAAATCCACACAAACGGAGAGCGACTCTTCCTTTAACAAATGAAGACTACCTCACTGAGAAGGAGAACCAAGGTATCCATACCAGCAAAAAGGGAACTAGAACGATCTAGAACCAAACACAGCTCCTGGAAGCGGCGATATCGAAGAAACAAGGTAACAACGATTTGTTAACGCCTAGAAAGATACCAAACCTAAGATGAGATCTCGATCAGATCTATAATGTAGAGACAAGGACCGAGCCCAAGCAATCCGAACCATACCGAAGACTGGAGACGGTAAGAGCACGAACCGGATCGAAACACAAGTAAACTCCAAATGGCAGTCAATAGGCAAATGAAAATGATGCTAAACCACAAAAGACTGAGAATAAGGCAGATTCCTCAATAGCAACGACCACCCTAAGATAGCCACGACTAAACGACTAAACAAAATAACTTTGAAGAGCCATCGAGACCAAACCAGCAAAAGACCAAAGGAAGCAATCCCATAGAAGGAAGAATACGAAGGTCAGATGTTAACAGAGAGGAAGCAAGAACATCTCGGCCGTAGTGGAACCCAACAACACGTCAACCAACACCCAACGGCGGTGGCCAAAAACCTGATCTGAAGCTACGCCCAAAAAACCACCGAACGAGACATGACGATATCACGAAGCACCATCACGAACCAACATGAGGCGACTCTCAGGGAAGATCTTGCCGGAAACCGGAAAAGAAACCAACCTAAAGCCACTCCGAAAACTTCGAAACTAGATCTGCATGGAAAAGCTGAGAATGGCCCGAAAACAAAGGAGAACGGAAGAATAAGCACACGGACGACCCTCTCACGACTCCGGCGAGAAGCGCCGGTGGCCAGAGAGGTCAGAACAGGAGAAAAGCTTGACGGCGGCGGCTAGGGCGAAATTGGTCTTGTAATCGATAACGCGTAAATTAATGGACTTTGTAACACAACAGCTGAAATTGGTTCTTATATGTTTAGTTACTGTGTCCACTAGAAATAAAGTTGCATACATGTTGGGAAGCAATATCATCTCTTCTAAATTAAAAATGTGTAACGAACCTAGGCCCAAACAAAAATTATAACTAATATAAACCAATAGCTATTTAAATCTACAAATTGGTCATTGACTAAAACAATAATCGTGGTTGATAGAACTTATGAAAATTGCATTTAACATTTTCCATATTACCAATCAAAATCGTAACATTTCTTTTTTTTGAAAGAATGTAAAATTTATTCAATCAAAAAACCGGTGTTACAACAAGTGCCTCAGTTTCGAATTTATAGAAGACTTTGATTTAAGGTACAATTTTAAGTTTGAGTAGAAAACCAAAACATGAGGAGGTCATCATATTTTTGGTTCCCCGAACAGCGAAGAAGTGTTATCTTGTTCCGAATTGTTTTCCCTATCATTTGGCCAAGGCGAGGAGCTGGGATGTGAGCTTCGCCATGCCTGCGATTATTCCGTTCTCTCCAAATGGAGTGGACAGCGACCTGGAGAGAGTACCGTAGGAGCAGCAGAGTTCGGTTGTCGAGAGTTGAACTTGAAACAAGTGACTTGATCTGGTTCCATTGGGACGTGTAATGATGTCCTAGGAGACCCTTTGTTGTTTGTTCCCAAATCTGATGCGAGTAGCTGCAGCTGAAGAAAATGTGGTTTCTAGTCTCCACCGGCTCTTGACAAAAGACACAAGCTGAGTTAGCACCTTGATTCCATTTCAACATTCGATCTCCCGTAATGAGTCGATTATGCATTCCCAGCCAAGTTATGAACGCAAACTTCGGTGTGGCTTGCGGGAACCACACGCCCTTTGCACTTCGTAACATTTCACAACACACATTGTATTCAATATTAACATTTCAAACCAAAAACACTAGAAGATTATTATTACTTTCTAGCTTTCGGCTCTCCAACAAATTAAACTAACATTTACAAACTTGGAAAATTAACCATCAAAAAATTTATTTGATTAGAGATTACAGAGTTAGAACAATATTCCTTGCACCAACAACAATAAAATCTTAATTTTAAATTATATTTTTCATCCAATCTCAAAAATAAAAAGAAACAGAAAAGGAAATCTCAATCCTCTAAACATTTCATAGGAACACTCCACGTCGTGTTCTGTACTGGTTCTGACAAAGACAGATACTTTCTCCAATCATCAAGAACAAGATTCAGATCATGAAGCTTCTTGTCCAAACCAATACAACAATTAGCATGCATTGTGCAAACCAAGTTTATGTCTCTGCTCGTTTGACAAAACCCACCAAAGTAAACCGTATCAAAGAATCTCATTTGGACTCCAATCTCAGAGATAAAAGGCTCGTGCTTGATTCTGTTAAACACATCTTGATCATGCAAGTCCGGATAATTCAGACGAGATTTGTGCCAGAATTTGTAGAACTCAATGCTTCGATTGTTTGATCTCACGTATGTGAAACCACCATTGACCCAATTGTCTGAATCATAAGGATTTCCAAAGAATCTATCACATGCCATTTGGAAGTCTCCATCTGGATATAGCCGAGGAAAGGGATCTCTAAGCCACATTATATCTGCGTCCTATATTCAAATACACGAGAATTTTTATAAGTAGCTCCGATTGGAAAATCATAATTTTTCTTGTACGAAAGACATTGATTCTGCATTTGAGGAAGAATCTTAGAAGGTTAGGAAAATTAAGACAAACCGTGAAGATGAAGTTAAAACCCATCTCAAGAACTTGTGTAAGAAGCTCGATTCTGCGCCACATCATCTTAAGATAATCAGGAGTGTTGTAAACTTTCTCGCCGGAGAAATCAGTTTCCGAGGTTTCAATATGGTAGCAATTAGTATGAAGTTGTGAACATCGTTGAAACGCCTTGGGATCCAAGCAAACCACTACTACATGTTTAAGCAGTTGTTGTGTTCCTTGTCCAATACGAAAACTCTCTAAGAAGAGATCAAACAAAGAGTTTGGTTCTGCCCAAGCTTGATTCAACGTCGTTATAATCACTGTCTTGTTCTTCGTTGACGCATTCTCCAAAAATTCTTCCTTGAAGAGCTTTGGTTTTATCTGAAACAACAACAACAACAAAATTGGACTCAAAATTGCAGATTCAAACCCTATTACAAGACGAAACAGAGTATGAATAAAGAGTAGAACAAGAGTATGTATCAGATCTGAATAATGATGAGAGCTTACTGTTTCTGGAGAAATCTCTGATGAGTTGAGATTTGGTAATAGTGGAGATGGAAAAGCGAGGAGAGAGGTGAGATTGTTGACATCAAGTCGTTGAGGGTAAGCTGTTTTGTATAAAACTAGACATGAAGCAGTTAAACCAAGAAACAGTATCAAGATTCTTGTTACTTCTTTTTGTCCGATTACAAATCCTGAATCCATAAATTTACTGCGAGAAGAAGAAGAAGAAGAAGAGGAGGAAGACGAAGAACTCATTATTTTTTTTGGAAGTGTTTTTTCTTCTCTAGCTTTAGTCTTCGTTTTTTTTTGTCGATTCTTATCATAACGTACATGAGCAAGGCAAAAGTCATCATCTTGTAACAGCAATGTGCAATATATTATTATTTCGTTTATAATTTTTTTTTTTAATTAAAAGTGTGATTCCAAAACTAATACAAGTGGTCGAATCGTGTGCATTGTTATTATATTATGAATATTACGACACTCTCGTATGTTTCAAAAATCTGATTAGAATTTCAACAATTTTTTAAAATACATTTTATAATTAAGATACTATTATAATATTTATTACAATAAATTAGATATATACTCTCTCCGTTTTCGAATAGTTGTCGTTTTAGAGTTTTTTTTTTTTTAAATTAGTTGTCGTTTTAAGGTAATAATGTAATTTATGTCAATAACTACCCAAATTACCCTCATTTTATTGAACACAAATTATTTGTAAATAATTATTTGTCATTTTTATGAGGTTAATATAGTCATTGTATACATTTTCTTAATTTGTGCAAATACAGTTAAAACGATAACTTTTCAAAAACAGAGGGAGTAACATTTATCAAACAACAAAAACAAAATGTCAGATTCATGTCACCAGAAAGTTCATAAAGACGGCTTTATTTGTTGTAATAGTTATAATTAATTATTAATAGAAGACTATACAATAATTTGACTAGAATCACTAGATCGATTTAGTCCACTAGGGTCTAAACGCGTGGGCGTTTCCTATTAGTAATAATTAGTTAATAATTTCATAAACAAATGTTTGTGGCTGCCATGATAGACTTTATTTTATTTCCCTCGTTTATTTATTTTTCAAAAGTTGTGAGTCAATATGTTGACAAAATGCGTCGTATTAATTGAGTTTTTGGGGTAAAATATGATTTATTAGCTTACAAAAGAGACTTTAGAGCAAGTCTCCATGACACCCATAATAAAAATAAATAAAAAATAATTTTGTAATCAAAAAAGGTGAGACACTTTGAGACAAGTTTCTCATTTGAGATATTTTGAGACACTCTTTCTCTCATATACATGTCATTCTTATATTGGTTTAACAATTTTTTTTTTAAATTCAATTACTCTAAGATTTATAATATCAATTAAATAGTTTATAAGTTACTATTTTTTATTTTTTATTTTTCTACAATTCATAAAATAAAATTATCTATATATCAAGTTCCATTATACAAAAGTTTAAATATTTATTAATATAATTTTTAATTGATATTAGTTAAGTTTAAATTAATATTTTTAGTTAATAAAATACTATAATATTAGAAAATAAATCTGAGATGAATAATCTGATTTTTTTGTCAATATTTTGATATTTTGATAAATAATGTGTTATCTTTTGTCATTATTTACAAAATGTCCAATATATATAATTAAAATCTATATGGCAAAAGTTTGGCGCATCATCAAGTGAAGAGTAAAATATATATTATCTATTTTGGTTTTGTATGTTTTTTTTTGCATTTTAATTTATGTTATCATGGTTTTATATGCAATTTTGTGTTTAATTTATATATCTTTATTATGGTTTTATATGTTGTTTAAAATTTAATTTATGTTTAATTGTGGTTTTAAAAATAATAATCTCTTTAATATATTATTTATAATTGATAGTACTATTAATTAATGTTTTTAAAATTATTAATAATCATTATATTATTTTCTTCTATAAAAATATAATTATTTTGTTTGAATGACTATATTTAAGATATAATTTGATATGTTTAAAAATATTATTGAAAAATTAAATTTAATATAAAAATATAAATATTATATTGATGAGACACCCATAGAGATATCTCACCAATGGAAGTAGAATTTTAATGTGAGTTTCTCTAAATAAATCTCTTACTAATAAAAGAGGGAAAACGACCTGTGTCCCCCTAGTAAGTTTCACATAGTATCACAACTACACCGAATTCGGATCTCGATCGCTGTCCACACAGATTAAAAGTTATACTCATGTGTCCCCCCAAATCAAAACTTCAAGACCGCCATCTCCAAAATTTTGATTTTCGTGGTTTATACTTGGTTTACTGTACCCAAACCACCATTAACCGCGTAACAAAAAAAATAAACCGGATTTACCCATAAACCAACCCGATTACAACCCGATTACAACCCGAGAATTTAAAACCCCCAATTCTCAAAATCCCCAATTCCCAGAATCCCTAATTCTAAGAACCTAAGAACCCTAGAAACTCAGAAAACTCAAATTGGAGATTTCAACTGATGGATTCAAATGAGTTGGAGCCGCCGTCGTCTGATGTTGTCGTTCATCACCAGCCTTCCGAGTCTGATCCGCAAGCAGAAGAAGGAGAAGGAAATCCAGAACCAGACATTGAACCCGACGATGAAGACCCACTAGAGCGAGACCAGTTTGAAATCGAGAAGACTCGATAAAAATCACGAGGTTGAAATTTCGATTGAGGTTCAAGTTTCCATATATTGAAGGCAACTTATCCATGGGGAAAGCATCGGAAGAAAAAGCATATTAACGATATATGGTGTAAGTGAATCATTGACCCCCTTAGCTTCTTACCCTCAAATTAAAGCATTGTGCCTTAGATTGAACGTTGCTTATTTTGTTTTTGTTAGATATTCATTGTTGTGTGGTTTGTATTTGTTAATTTTGTGGTTGGCTTATACCGCATGACTATTTACATGATCAGTTACTTCTACGGTTCTACCAAATATTTGGTGTACAACATATAGCTCTTTGTGATCAGGATTTGACTCTTTGTGTGTGTCTCTCTCTCTCCAACAACAAGGAAGTTGGACTGCAGTCCACTTATTGCAATGAAATGGAAAACCACAAAAAGTGATGATAAAAGAATCGAATCTAGCTAACTACTGAAAAAATGTCAAAACGTCAAAGGTGAGTTGACCTCTGTTTTTTCCCTCTCTTTGACCTTAATTTCTCCTTCTTACAGGTGAGGAATTCTTCAATACGACTACAAATTGGGATATATGGATTAAGCTCTGCTATTATATTCGCGAAGAGCATTATGTTGAGGGTATTGGTGTATTTCAAAGTTCAAAATGTCCTCAAAGTGCCCTCCAACTCATCATTATTCAGTTTCGCTTATTTGCTCTGTTTAAATCTTACTTAACGTATTATTCGTCATGAATATAAGTTATAATATGATTTACGTTTAAATGATTATGTCTGATCTTCTTATTCAAACTTTTAAATATGTTTCGTTTTGCCTGTCTCTGAAACGAAACGTAGGATTCAAGCCACACTGGAACTAGAATAATAGAAGGTGATGGATGTGCTCAATTTCACACGAATGAACATATGGTTTAAGCTTCGGAAATTTTGTTGAGTGGAAAACTTCGTCTCTGTGTAGGAATTCGAAGTTATGACTAATTTTAAAAGGCTAATAAATGATCTCATTACTTTTTAATGCATGAGAAATATTAGAAGTCATCACTACAAGAACATGATCATAATAAAACGAAACCAAATTCTATCTAGCTACACACAAAATCAGTCTTCTATCTTATGTCGGGGTTAACAAAATGAAGGTGCTGTTAACGATTTTAGCTACAAAAGTTTAAGTTAATTGACAAAGACTAAAAACTGAACGAAACCATTGTTGTTTGCGTTTGCTATGATTCTATCAAGTTTCAAGTGTAGTTTTTTTTTTTTTTCCAAAGGTGTGGACAATGTTGTATGTTGTTACCACTTACCAGTTCAGATTTTTCAATTGTTTGCTATTATATTTTTATTTTATGCTCCTACAGGTGCATATTTTTGGTTGCAATGACACCTAAACTTGTGGAGAAATTGTAATATGTTTCTCATTCTTCATCGTGAGTAAAGATGGAAAGAAATAAAGACATGACTAATTAGCACATGATAAAGACATGATTTCTTTACCAAAATCCAGCTCAAGGTTTAAGATTTAAAATCGATATTAGATTCAAGTAGTACTACCATATAGATTTATTTAGGGTTTAAACATTATACCAAAGAAACTTAAAATATAATTAATATTAAATTAACTAAAAGTAGTTAAAAGTTTATCCGGGCGTAGTCCGGTTTCTGCCCTAGTTAAACATAAAAATATTAATATTATATTGGTGAGACACTATATGAATGTCTACCATTGGAGATGCTCTTAAGCCTGAAAGTAACTTTAAACCGAAGTAGAAGAGTTTATTGGATTCTCCCCAAAGTATACACAAGAGAAGAGAGCATATGCGACTAAGTTTAAACATACTACATTGGTAAAAATATTGAATTGATAAACTTTCTTCTGGCATTTTAGTTGAGATTTGGAATTTAGCAGATGTCTTTTGTTGTTTTGTGATTATCTATGTGGTATTGAATTTTGATCAAAGCTACTAGTGCGATATGTGAGTAGATCTAATCTACTTTAATATTTTTTATTTCAACTACATTATTATTTTATTTTTTTGTTCAACTAACTACATTTTTTAAAGTTGTAAAATATTGTAAGAGATTCTCAAAACACCATTACTTTAGCAACAAAATTTAAAATTGTTGGTTTTAGTAACTTTTTATGATAGTAAGAGATTGATATGACATGCCTTCAATTGGTAAATTAATCTGGTCTTTGCTCTTTTGACAAAATACATTTATAGTGGTTTTGTCAAAAAAAATTTGTCTTCCATGAAAGTGCCACGATTGTGAACGACAATACCACTCTCATCACATCGCCTTTTCTGTTTGATGGCTACTAAGCTCTCTCGCCGCCTAGTCTCTACCACAAATAGGATCGGCTCAACACTTTTATGGGTTCTAAGACAAAAAAAAATTTGAGCCTTTAGATTTTTTTTTATTTTTTAGTGTTTTTTTGCTGTAAGAAAAATTTGTATAATATTTTTATTAAAAGTATAATTATTAATACTAAAAGCAATAAATAAAAAAATTTATGGGCCCTTCTAAATTTATTCTTTTATTGTAATGTAATTTTTTAGTACTTTTATAAAATATTTTTAAAAATGGGCCCTTTAATTATTGGAATACGGGATTGGGCCCTGACCGTCGCACCGCCCGCCCTTCGAGCCGGCACTAACCACAAATAAAAGAAGAAAACATGATTTAGAGCTTGAAATTTTCACATTGATTTTAACTTCTCTTTTAAATCTTTTTGCTCGTATTATTCTTTTTTGCTTCACACCTTCTTAAGATTTCTTTCACATCTCAGCTATTTTATTTTCTATTTATTGAAAACTAATAACACAAAAATTATAAAATAACTATGCGTTTGTAATAAATTAATAATTGACACATAATTATTTTCTTAACAATTCGTATACTTTCCGTTAAGAAAGGAATATTTCTTTCTTTCGTCCAAAGTAATACCCATATTTATTTCCTTAGCAATTTTTCTTAATTAGACCCGTTGATACATGTCCATTTCAAAAGTTTATTCATAATCAAAATTTGGTTTATTTGCATGTTCTTCCAGACTAAAATAATTGGCCTACTAAGATTCAAAAAAATTCTCATAAGTCTGATGAGATCAATATTACTTAGAAGACTTAAGATGGAAAATGTAAAATTTATTTAGTACTAAAGTTTAAAGGTAATGCCCTTATAACATTACACCACTTAGATAACATTTCTTAACAATCTAAAACACCAAAAGCTATCCAACTTTTTTTCTGTTCGATTTTGTCTCTTGCAAAAATAAAAGGCGACTTTTAATACATTCAGAATTTCCCATCACATAGTTGCAATCACTTTTGGGCTTTCCCCCTTCCTCTGTAGTAATATTGATATCGTTAAAAACTATGTTTTTGCAAGGCTTGATTTTGCTGCAATTTAGTGTTATAATATTTTCATTTGGCGTCGTTCCATGAAAATCAATGAATTTTACATCGCTAATCGCCACAGCTTCTGAATCCTATTCAAAAAGAAATTTTTAATATTTAAAAGAATTATCAATACTTTCAGAATATTATATTACCAAATCATATACCTTGTTAGATTCGAAACTGCTATGTCCTTTATCAACATAGTGTTGGTCGATTATAATCGGATTCTTTGCATCAATGATGGTAATGTGCTCAAAATATATATGCTTAACATATCCTTCTCCACCCTAACACAAAAAATTTGAAAGAAAGGTTATAACTAATATTATTATCAGTAGAAGTGAAAAAAGTAATACCTGACAAGTTTTGATCCTAGCTCCATTTGTTGTCTTGTTGAAAATGCAATGAGTCACTTGAACGTTTTCAACTTTAGCTACTTGTCCATTAGCTCCCAGACTTCCAATACTGTGTATTTATAGTAAATAATCTAACCGTTCAAAAGTTTATAGAAATAAAGAAAAAATCATTTTTGTTAACTTTTTCTAAATTAGATAAATAATTGGGAGACTCACAAAAATGCCCCTTTTTTAATACCCCTTTTCAAAAATACCCCCTTTGGCTGTCCATTTTTAAAAATACCCCTTTTTATGTACAAAATGACTAAATTACCCTTCTTTTAATAAAAGATATCACAAATATATAAGGAAATATAACAAAATTAGGTCCACAAAATACAAAATATTTTTTGGCGGGAAAAGTGATCCCGCAATTTTTCCCGCCAAAACACTTGTAAAAACTTGTAAAAAACCTTTAAAATACCTTGTAAAATTTTCCCGTAAAACTTTTTCCCGCCAAAAAAATTTTTTTGCGGGAAAAGTGATTCCGCAATTTTTTGGCGGGAAAAATTTTCCCGCCAAGAATTTACAAGGTATTTTAAAGGTTTTTTACAAGGTATTTATAAGGTTTTACAATGTATTTTAAAAGGTTTTACAACGTATTTACAAGGTATTTATAAGATATTATAAGATTTTACAAGCTATTTTATAAGGTTTTTACAAGTTATAAGGTTTTACAAGTTTTTTATAAGGTTTTACAAGTTATAAATACCTTATAAAACCTCATAAGTACCTTGTAAAACCTTTTGAAATACATTGTAAAACCTTACAAAACACTTGTAAATACTCTGTAAAACCTTTAAAATACCTTGTAAATTTTTCCCGCCAAAAATTTTCCCGCCAAAAAAATTTCGCAAAAAAAATTGCGGAATCACTTTTCCCGCAAAAAATTTTTTTTGGCGGGAAAATTTTTTGGCGGGAAAAATTTTTACGGGAAAATTTTACAAGGTTTTTTAAAGGTTTTTACAAGTGTTTTGGCGGGAAAATTGCGGGATCACTTTTCCCGCCAAAAAATATTTTGTATTTTGTGGACCTAATTTTATTTCAAATAAGGGTAAAATGGTCATTAAAAATTAAAAGAGGGCAAACTTAAAAATAGACTCTCAAAGGGGGTATTTTTGAAAAGGGGTATTGAAAAATGGGCATTTTTAACAATTTCTCTAAATAATTTTGGAGTAAGATTAAATGGTTAAGAGTTTTAGGTTGTGTCATAAGAAAAAACAATAACTTTTTTCTATGACATACTATTTTATTTTGAAATTAAGTTATTTTTTTTATGATAAATAATTTAGTAAGATAATATAATTATGGGAGAGGATTTTGGTAAAAAAAAATATGAAGTAGATTTTTGTCAACAAAGTGATTTAGTTAACTATGTTCAATATACTGACTATTTAGTTATTTTTTAATATTTTTTTGGACAAAAGTTTTTTTTATTTAGTTATTTATATTTGATAAAACTAATATCATTCATAACTTTTATTTTAAGAAATTTACATAAATGATCTTTAATTTACTGCACAATCAAAACGTGTAAAAAATAAAAAACGTGTATGTGTGTTGGCATTAATTACGAATACCTTATTCCATGACCAGGCCCACAAACAATCTCTGTGATGTTAATATTCACACATCCTGTGTTTAAAGCTATACAATCATCTCCTGCAATTGGTTTTTTTTCTCGAAACTATTATATTTTGTACCATGATAATTAAAAATTAAGTTTATTAAATCAATTTAACAATGCATGAGTTTTGTACAAATACATACCAGTTCCAATGGTAGATTTCGATATGTCAACATTCGTCGAGGTGGATATATCAATTCCATCAGTGTTAGGACTTGTTTCAGGTGCAAAGAGTTGTATATTCGATATCATAACTATGTTACAACTATCGATTGATATATGATTTCTTGGGCTGTCTTTAGAAGTTATTCCGCTTATCTTGAGGTTATTACAATTGTTAAAATCTAATGACTGCACAGAAAGTAATTTCATAAATTCATATATTCCATAATAATATTAATAAAAAATTAATTAATATATTACTTACTGTAGGTCGATTAACTATTTTTCCCTACAAAAAATAAAATTTTTTATATAAGTTGGTATGATGATGAAAATAAAAATCTATATCGTTAAATAGTATTTATTAAATAATACATATTTATATCTGTTACAGAAAAAAAATCCCAATATTATTTTAGTATATATATATATATATATATATATATATCTTGCACATTAATTACCATATATATTACATGTTAATCGTTACCTCCCAAAAAGATGAACCAAATCCATTGATACTTCCAGAACCAACGACCGTTAGATCATTTACATTCGAAAAAGATATCCACTTTTTAGATTTTTGATCCAAGTTCAACCACAAACTTTCGTCACTAGGTGCAACAATTTCGCCGTCCATCTGAAAAGTTGCTATGTATCAATAAAATATATGTTTAGAGTTATTTCATGCATTTGATTTATTTATTTTCTCTAGTTGATAGTAATTACATTGCAAAAATTCATATTCGATCATTTTATGGTCGTTTCGCTAATTTTATAATTCATAAGAAATTCTCACCTTTTATAGAGTAATTAAATCTATAATTCCCTATGTATCACTTTAAATGATGTTTTAGGAAAAAACTTTTGTTTCATTTTAAGTGATGTTTTCAACTTTTTATGTAAAAGTTAAATTATTTAATTTTTTTGACCAATAATATATTTCTCTATATATTTTTATTGGTTGAAATCATTTTATTCAATGATGTTTTAATGTAAAAAAGTAAATTAAATGAAAATTATGTGTGTTTTTTTAAATTTGTGTGCAGAAACCTTAAACATCAGTTAAAATCATACATAAGGAGTATATAAGATGCATTTACAAGGGTCACTGGCAATCCACTAAGGATTTTGGGTTTAATACTCCCTCCGTTCTTTAATAAGTGATGTTTTAAGCTTCTAATTTTGTTCTTAAATAGATGATGTTTTCAGTTTTCAATGCAAAATTAATTATTTTTATTGGTTTTAACGATTTATATTATGTAGATTGTTTTTTATTGGTTGATTAGATAATAAATGATGTTTTAGTTTAGAAATAAACAAAAATTAAATGATTTCTTAATCGATGTGCATTCTCCTAAAATATCACTTATAAAAGAACGGAGGGAGTACTGTTTTTCAACAACATTTAATTTTATAATTACAAATAAATAAAATTTCACAAATTTAACATTTTAGTGTTTCATGTGTATTTGAGAAAAAAAAACTCAACTCAACTTGTTTCCAATATTCTACCATTTTTTTATTCTAATGGCTATCACCAAAACTATTGACTAGTAATGGATTATATTAATTGCATATGTCGAGATTAACCTATATATAAATAACATTCTTTATTTATTTATCACCTACACATTAGATTATATTTTAATAAAACTCAAATTTTGTGTTTCTCGCTTTATTAAAACATCATCATAAATTATATAAACTAATTAAAAATAGTTATAAAAAAAAATTAAATTGTAAACACATATTTTAAATACAAGGGTTTTTTTTTCCTTAACACTTATTATTTACAAAGTAGAATTCACTAAAATACTAAATTTTGTGGTTTTATTTTATATAAAATATATTATTCAGATACATATAAATCTGAATATAAACACGTATGCAAAAAAAAAAAAAAATTGAGGTGTTATTTATTCAATAGTATTTTATTATTCAATAATTAATTTGTTGAATAAAATATATTATTCAAATACATGTAATGGGAATATAAACATGTATGCCAAAAAAAAAAAACGACAAAATTTTGTAAGAAAATTTACCTGAAACACAGGAGAAGATCCACAAGGACCTTGAAACTGAAGAGGTTGAAGTAAGAAAGTTTGACTTGAGGGTACTAAAATTGTTTTTGTGTCTCCTTCATCTCCACACATAGTTTTCCATGCTTTTATGAAAGCCTTTGTATTCAAATATAATTAAAAATTGTAAATAAAAGTAATTATAAAACAAATAATACAATTATTATATAGAGAAGAAACTAATGAAAGCAATAGATACTGTGTACATATAAAATCTAAAAATATCCCTTGTAAAATGTTATAAAGTACCTTTGAATCATCAGTTTTACCATCTCCTTTAGCACCAAAATCAAGTACATTATAGTTTTCACCACTTACAAAACCAAAATATAGAAAATTTACGAAGAAAACAACATGTAATAAAATTTCCTACAATACCAAAAAAAAAAAAAGGTTACAATTGAAATTTTAATAAGAATTTTGCAAAAGCTTTATATTTGATGTGTACCATTATAAAATGACTATTATTAGGTGAGTCACCTAAGGTGACTAAAAGTAAGATAGTATGTGTGTATGTATGTGTTGTCAATAACATATTTATAAGCAATGATGTGCATGTATGGATACATATAAATCATTGATACAATTTCCCTTTTTGTTTTTCTGCAAAAACGATTGACCATTGACCTCCAAAATGTTAGAATCTTTAATTATTAAATATGGTAGTCCTCCATATGTCACTAAAATGTTACCATTTGATTGGTTAGAAAATTTAAATAAGACAAAATTTCTATTCCACTTTTTTTTTTTTTTTTTTTTTTTTTTTTTTTTTTGTTTGGACAAAGATTTCTATTCCACTTAAGCTCTATATGATAAGCATGCATAATAGATGGAAAAAATGAATGAGATATAGGTGAAATAGAATGAGGTATGAAAAAACAAATTTATCCCCATTAATTCACCATCATAATTACAAAGAATAATTTTCGTTGAAATTTGTTTTTTTTTTAATGGAATGAGTGATTTTTATTATATTCCAATCAACATAAATAATTAGATGTTATTTTTTTTATGAATGCTTCATTCAACCAGATTGTATTCCTTTAACTAGACATCAACATACGTCATTAAAATCCAAGAAATTTTTTATATCTTATTGGATTTAACCAATGGTCTTATACTATTTCTCTAGATAAAAAATCTTTAACTTTATGTTGACAATTAATCTCGTTTTTGGTTAACACTAACAGATTCAAATTGTTGAATAGAGATTGTTGAATAGTATGATAAAATTGAATAATTATTTATCTAATAAAATAGTTAGATATTAATTTGGCCAAAAGGACTAAATAAATTAAAAATTTATTAAGATTTTCGTCTTATGTTTTTTAGTTTCAAAATTTTTTGTTCACATGTTTCAGATTTTTCTATAATGTTCAAATTTCATCACAGTTAATTAATTAAATATGTATATATTTTATATAGTTAAAATTACATTGGTATTTTCGAATTGAAGGATAAATATTAGAGAATTTAAAATTTAGGGATGTAATCCAAGATCCAATTCGAGATTTTTGTCCCGATAATTCAAATCGTTGAAGAGTCCATATCCGAATGAGGACAAGAAAATCTATTGATTTCAATGTATCTTAATTTTAAGGTTTTGATATCCGTATTCATATGAGTTAAGAAGTATATATACATATCTAATACTATTAAATAATATTTACTGATTTATATAAAATTAATTATTTGTTTTTAATATATTATATTTTATTTCATATATAAAAAACTGTTATGACATATTATTTATTAATTTTTAGTTTTTATGGACAAATATTTGGATATATGTGGATATTTTGATGTTTTGGACAGATATCCAAAATCATGATATGTAGAAGGTATGGATACCTTGATAGTTGAAATTCATATCCAAATCTGAATACTTTAATATTTCAGGATAGCCACATCCACACACCATGGGTTTTTTCTTTTTTGAGAGAAAACTTTTTTACAGATATAAAAAATATAAATTCTTTTTTTTTTGTCGTCTTATTATAAAATCAATGAAGAAGTGTGCAAAACAGAGAGAAATAAAAACAGAGCAACTTAATAAGAAAAAACAGAGCAAGAGAAAATCAATCAACGTCGACCTCGCCGCTCGTCCTCAATCCGGTTGTGGAGCCAAGCCGGACCACCACGTGCTAAGTAAGATGTAAACCGTCTATTCATGCGCATTTTAGCTCGATACGCACATCTGATGTATATTGCAAATTTCCACAAATCATTAATTACAACCATGTTATTAAAAAATTATGTGTGTAATATTTGACTTGCAAACGTATTTCTCTAAAACAGTTCATGTGGTGATTTATCTTATGTTATGATTGAGACCTCTATCATGCAAATCGATTAAAGATAAGGAGAACGAATTCATTGCAAGTTCTTATTAATTTGGATAAATTAGTAACATCATATGTAAGCTAAACTAAAGTAAATGAAAAGCAAACAAACGTTATTCAGATTATATCGTTAATTATTAGTATTCATGAGTATATCGAACTAATTTAATATATAAAATTATTTTATTTGATCATGCATAAAAAAACAGTTGATCATATATTCTTACATAAGATTATTAGTTATATAAAATAATAACTATTTCTCATATTTTCTATGAAAATCGATCCTATGTTTTGAAACAACCATTGGCCTCGTTAGCATTGATAGACTTTCCATACACGTTACTGCATTCAACAACTGGCTTATTTCCATCGACCGTAGCAATATCGATTTTATCAAGAACAATGTCTTTGCAATATGTGACTTTGCTGCAATCTATCTTTATAATCTCATCGACTTGTGACGTTCCACGAATATCGGTGAATGTCACGTTACTAATTGCCACTGCTGATTCCTAAACACAAAATATACAAATTTGTTTGCAATTTAGCTTTGCTTTAAAATTTTATTATTTTTATTTAATAGAATTAAGATGATTTACCTCCACGTCTAGGCGACCCTTATCGACATAGTTTTGGTCGATTATAATTGGATTTTTGGTTTCTCTGAACGTAAGGCCTTGAAAAAGTATATTTTTTGCGTATCCCTTTCCATTCTAAACAAAAATATATATCACGAAAAGAAAGTATATCAATATTGTCCCAATATATTTAGTTTTAGTATAAAATTTTTAATTAAAAAATCATTACCGGCCATGTCTTAATCCTAGCTCCATTATCCGTCCTAAAGAAAGTGCAATTAGTCACTTGGACATTCTCAACTATAGATTCTTCTCCATCTCTTCCTAGACTTCCCACACTGAAATTTAATTATATAGATAAAGATTTCTTTATTATATAAAGAATATAAAAAAATAGTATATGTAAAATGGTATTGATCAATCATCACACATATATACCTTATTCCATGGCCAGGTCCACAATTCATCCTTGTGATATTGATATTCATACTTCCGTTGTTTATAGCTACACAATCATCGCCTAGAATATTTTTTAGAAAATTAAAATTCAAATAATCATCATACCATTTCAGAGTACTTTTTAATTAATGAGTGTGCAAGAGAGATATCTAGCTATGTACCAGTTCCAATAATTGTGTCGTATATATCGACATCACTTGATCGTGAGATATCAATTCCATCAGTGTTAGGACTATCGTGGGGTGCTACGAGTTTTATCTTCGTAATTTTAACTCTTTTGCATTCGCTAATCGATATATGGTTTCTTGGACTGTTGAATGAGGTTATTCCACTTATCTTGAGATCATTGCAACTTTTAAAATGCAATTGCTGTAATAAAATGGGAAATAATAATTCATCATGAACATTCCAATATATTGACGACGATCAATGTGTGTATATATAAATGAACTATTTTCATTTTAGAATTGAGAATAAATTTTGTGAGAAAAGATAAACTCACAGTAGGCCGTTTAGAAGGTGACATTCTTGGCTGGATATGTTGAATATGAAAAAAAATATATATATTAGATTCCCATTTTGTATATATATATATATATATACATATATATATATATAATTAATAAATTCTATCTCTTTTGTATATATAAAGTTTTTTACCTTCCAAAAAGACGAACCACGTCCATGAATTGTTCCCGAACCAGTGACTGTTAAACCGATTATTTCCTTAAAACTAACCCATCTAAATAGCTTATTTTCCGACCAAGCTGCTTTGTTGATAGGCGCAACAATCTTTCCGTCAAACTGCATAAATGAATACATATACCTTTTATGTTCAGAAATAAAAACTAATCGGGTAAAATCGTAAATAGGTTTATAAAAAATATCAATAAATTACCTTAACTTGTACGGAAGGAGATTTACAAGGGCCTTGGAACATAAGAGGTTGTAGTAAGAATGTTTTGTTTGAAGGAATAAGGAATGTTTTTGAATTCCCACCACTACCACACATAGCTTTCCATGCTGTCACAAAAGCCTATTTATTTTATCAAAAAATCAAATGTATAAGAATTCTTAACTCAAAAAACTAAAATTTTGTGACAACGATTATGATTACGTTGTAGGAAAATGAATAAAAAACTAGTAATAGTTACGTATACTCAAATGTATGATATCATACGAAACTAGTTTCGTTTGAAAACTTACAAAATTCAGATATTTTTATAGAGTAAAACAAGATAATATTTTCCAATATAATACCTTCGAATCATCGGTAATACCGTTTCCCTTGGCACCAAATTTAAGCACATCATAGATTTGGCCGTTTACAAGAACAGAATGCAGTAAAGTCAAGAAGAATACACCACGTAGTATGATTTCCTACAACATCCAAAATCAATGTTAGAAAGAAAGAAAACATACTAATTTTTATTAAAACTTTACTAAACCTCATATGTACCATTGTGTGATGATGATCATATGTAATGTAGTGTATATGCATGTGATGTTGCTCACTTAAATATACACATACAAAATCATGGGTATATCTTTTAAAAACAGGTTCGTGGATATAGTTTTAAACTTTACATATTTTATGCCTAAATTCATTAGTTAATATTATGGATATTCTTTTTCATATAAGTGATATTATCTCTCTTTTATATAAGATTAGAAATAAATCATAATATAAACTAGATAAAATAGAATTAAAAGAAATTGTAAACAAATACAAGTTAAAAGAGAAATAAAAATACGTGAAATAAGTGGAAATAAATAAAATGCAATTTGTGAAACACAAAAATAGGATTAAATTTGGGTGCATATTGTGATCTCATTGGATTATTAACTTATATTTTAACAAATACGAGCCATTGACATCCCTCTCCTACCAAAAAAAAACAGTCATTGACATTCAAAACTAATGTTTTTCTAATTATTTGGTAGTGAATTTGAAATATATAGACAGTAATTTAAATTAAAAAATCTGATATCATGAATTTAGTAATAATGTATTGATGATTATAAGATTGAAAGATTAGTTTGATGTACAATAATTTTTTGAAATTATCCACTTTTTGAAGTTATCCACTAGATGTTGTCTGCTTGATCTTTTTCATTCACTTTTTGTTTTCTAAATTTAAATTAGATTATAAAAAATCCACAATAAAACTAAAACTTGGAAAACAATAACAAATAAGTTAATCAACATATAGCATTACAATGGTAGTCCGTAACTTTCTAGTGGAGAAGAATGGTAGAGTTTTGACTCAAACGCAAAGAAATAACAAGTAAAAGCAAAGTACAAGAATCTTGTTGAAAAAATGTCTTTAGTATCCGCCTCTGTGGCTTTCCCATTATGGTTCGATTTCGAATAGTTGTGGTATGATGCGTTATAGAGGTTGGCTTGTACCCATCGCCGGCTCTGGTCGGATCTCTCCCTCCCTTAATTTTCTTCGTCATTCCCAAATGACAAAGCCAACCTAGTTGATGCTTGCGGTCGTTACAAATATATCAATTTAATCGATCCAAAATATTTAGAAAAAGCCACTAGTTCTCCCGGGAAAAGACTTCTAACTTAACCATAAGGTCGTAGCTTAATTCAAGCATCATAAGAGATGTTTTTTTAATCTTTTTTTTCTTTAAAAGACAAATCGGCCCCAAAAAACAAATTCTGCTTGTAGCCACCGAAATCTCCGGGAAGGCTCTGGATCCGACTTGCAAATCTTGGAGCCACTTCACGGTGGTGAGGCAAGTCGCTCGCTCCCTCATTTGTTTCTTCAATAATGATCACCAGCTCGTCGCGTCTCTATTAACAAGAACATCAGAAATCGTTTCAGTTCCATTCGACACCCAGGTGACCAGGGCCGGCCCAAACTATTTGAGTGCCTAAAGCAAAAATTTTTTTGTAACTCTCTCCACGACAAGAAGAAGCAGCTAGTTTTCTGATTTAAGCTCTTAACTACGTGATTTTATTTGTTTGAAAAAAATAAAGTGTACTAGAAGATGGGATCATGATCATTTCCATTCGGAAAATTCACAATGTTACAATTAAAAAAAAAAGATATATTAATTAGTTTGTTATAATTTTGACCAACAAATTAAAATAAAATTGTCAGTTAGTTAAACTTAGAATCCTATCTGAGAAAAAATATTTAACAAAAATTAAAAAAGGATAAAGAAAGTTTCGGAGTTAATTAGGGCTTCCTTTTGCTTACATGACACCGTCGCAAGTCATTAAGCTCTCTGCTTCATAAGTTTCGTCTGATCTGTTCTAGAGAAAAAATCTTACGATGTCAGAAGACAAGATGAGTAAATTGTCAGACGATTTGCTTGTGCAGATTCTATTGCTTGTCTCCACAAAAGATGCAGTGGCCACCACGGTTTTGTCAAAACGCTGGCGTTTTATATGGACAATGATGCCTAGACTTGAGTACAAAGAAATTAAAGAAATGATGATGATAAAAGCAAAAAGAGTGTTTGGTGGTTTCTTGACCAGTCATTGCAACTCCACAAGGCACCTGTGTTAGACAGCTTGTGTATCAAACTCGGTCCACAATGTCCTGTTAATGTTGATGTCGGAAAATGGGTTGCAAAGGCGGTTGATCGTTTTGTGCGTAAGCTAAAGTTTAAGCTTCTCTGGTCCGCAGATCTAATCAGCTTACCTAAGAGCCTTTATACATGCAAAATGCTAGTGAAACTGAATCTCTCCCACAAGGTTCTAATAGATTTTCCTTCTTCTCCCACGCCTCCCATCCCTTAAAAAGCTCAACCTTATCAATGTGGTCTATACAGACGATGCTTCTCTCATTAGGTTCTTATCAAGCTGCTCTGTTCTTGAGGAACTAGAGTCAAACGAGAAAGGAATGAAAATATCAAGTATTTCTATGTGATAGTGCCTTCTTTACGGGACTTATGGTGTCATGATTATAATCGCAAATATGTAGGAAACCCTGTCAGGTTCTTGGTTATAGATACTCTGGCATTGGAGTACATTCACATCTTCCATTTCATACCTATGCTGATGACAAGTTGCCAAGATCTCTTTCGTCGGTCTTGTTTCTCGAGTTTTTTTTGGCTGATGAAATGGAAGCTTTCTCTCTATATCTCTCATTGCTTGTGATCACATTTACTAATAATGTTATTTTTTCTATCACATAGCTTGTGCGTTATAGCACTATCAACTTCTCTCGACTTACAGAGTTAGTAATCTGTCCAGATAAATCAGACTGGTTGGAACCACTCCTACTTTTACTTGGAAATTCTCCAAAACTAAAAAAGCTTTTGGTTGATTATGTAGGTATCTTCCTCCTCTTTTGTTAACAACTAATTAAAATCGCTTCATATATAGCCTTCGTTGCTTCCAGGGACCAACCGAAACCCCCGAGGATCTCCCACTTGCATGGAACGAACCGAGTTCAGTTCCTGGTTGCTTGTCTTATCTTTGAGTGGGAGAAATATGGAGGAAGAGCAGAAGAGAAAGAATTCGTTACGTATATCCTAGCTAAGTTAGGTGTTTAAAAGGAGCAACAATCTCCCTAAGGTCTGCATTCAATCTTGAAGAGAAACAAAAGGTAATGGAGGAATTAGAATCTATTCCTAGAGTTTCTAAGTCATCTCAGCTTCTTCTCAAGTGAAAATTTGTATTGTTTCTCTTTGTTATTACCATTTTGCCACATACATCAAGTCTCTACATTCGAGTTTATCTACTTTTTGCAACTTGCTACTCTCTGAAAGTGATTGAGATGTCTCACATATAAGCACACATCAAATTTCACAAGATGATTCAGGAATAAGCGTAAATGAGTTTTGAAAAAGGCTCTTCAGATGCCTAGTTCTAAGTAAAAAAAACTGCATGATAAAAACAGAGGATGTGCCAATATGATTGTTCTGATTGGATTATTACCTTGGCCTCTTTCCATTCACCTTTCAAAGCAGCTTGATACAGAGGAACACAGAAGCAGCTTGAAACAGAGGAACACAGAGATCCAAGTATTCATCTCTCCCAGGGGTGAGAATTTGACCGTGTGATGATGTGTTTGATCCTGCAATATCCACTTTCACAGCTTCACAAGGTCGATTTCCCAATGTCCAGATTGTTCATCGGTGTAAATTGAGTTGAATCACATGGTCGTTCAGCTTCTTAAGGAGGATTGCTTCTGTCCAAATAGTTCATTTCCAATGGCCGAGGTCAGTGAGGTTCTCCAAATTTGGCTCCAGATGATCTTGGAGCTGTTATTACATCAACAGTTGGAAGTTAAGAAAAAACAAAAAAGAGATTAGGAGTCAAGAAACTCATCAATTTGTAATCACAAGTTTCGAATTAGCCAAGTTAGGGCATAGCAATCCATTGAGTGTGACAGAGCTAAAGAGAAAACATGGGAAGTTTACACTCATTGGTTACCTTCGAGAACCGTCCCTAGTGCAGCCAAGAGGGAGCTTGAGGGAGTGGGATGCTCGTTACAAATTATGATATACAGAAACTGTAACAAATTAAGGATCAAATACCATACATATTCTACAACTTTAGGATATGGTATTGGTAGGTGTTGAAACGTAGCTGACATTTTCTATGAGAATATGTTAAATTAAAAAAAAAAAAAACATAGTAAGGCCCTAGAAAAAGTTGATACAATTGAGTATGCAAGACTCAAAGGTTCGCAAAATACAAAAAAGGAAACAGATAACATGTAACAAGCACTTGGCTAAATTAAGAATCCAAGTGGGAGAGATGGATTACGCAGCTCAAAAAACAGTCCTTGAACTCAAATATGACATCGTAAAGAAATCGGATGCCGGGAAAAAAGGATTCAAGGATCGTATGGAGATGCAAATATTAGACTATGTTCCTCACTAAGTTACTTTAAATGGCAAGAATTACGAACCCACAAAACATGAGTCTCCAATACAACTTCTCCTGACAAGGTATAGTTATTCTTCCTAGAATCAAGTTACCTCTCGTGCACATGAGGCAAGACGTATATGTCAAGTAATAGAGTCAAACAATTGTCTAGTAACAATTTTATTCCATTAATCTTCCAATATTGAACAAAAACACTATGAAATTACAAAGGAACAGAACATCTGCAATATCAGTCAGTCTATTCCCCAAATTAATTCAGATATGCAAAAGCTAAAACAAACACTATAGAAAATTACAAACATTACAACTTACAATGACAAACCGCAAAAACCGCTTCTTTTTATCTTCTTCTTCATCATCCGATCCATTAACGATTAAATATCAAAGTTCTCCATCTGAATGCTGCTCTTTAAAGGCACATAATCACCAAGATACCCACCAAGATGATCGTGCAACGCGGATTTATCAATCGGCTGATGATGAAAACTCTTACAAACATAGTAAAACACACTCTGCACAAGCAACCCCACTAGATTCACAATCACTAGAATCCCAACCAAGAAACCACCAACAACAATCTTCGTAAACAACCCGAAATCATCACCTCCATGAACCACAACACCACCGAAAACACCAGCAGTGATTCCACAAAGAGCAAGATACATAAAAACCATCGAACACGCCATATTAGTTCTCCCTTTAAGCAACTCATAACTCTTCTTCATCGCGGCAATCCCGTAAATCGGTTCAAGAACAGAGACAACACTAGCTAAATGCCACCAAGCAGTCATATAAACATGAACACCCAAAAACAGAACAAAGATCACAACCATCGAGAAAACAGCGAGAATCACGCTTTGTAAATCGATAGCTACGATCAAAACAACAAGAAACAACAAGAAAACAGAGTTGTACACAAGCATCATTAAAGAAACCCAAAGGAAGGTAATGAACAAACGCTTCAAAACTAGAGGAATCGCTGACATTGTGGAAGAGAAAGAAACTGGCTTTCCCGTGTAAAGCGAAGCGACGGTGAAGACGACGGCGGCTGTGGAGAGAAGAGAGAAGGCGAAGAGGAAGATAACATAGATGAATTGATAAACAAGAAGAAGGGTCCATTCGTGATTGGTTTTAGATTGATCTGAAGGAGGAGTTGAATCAAGCTGAGCTAAGATTGGTTGGGTAAAGAGAGAATGAGCGAGGATTGCGAAGGAAAGAGGGAAAATTAGGGTTAGGGTTATGAGGTAAAAGGTTTTTGGGGAAAATTTGGGGATTGTTGTGGATTCACGTAGTATACCTTGAATGTTGAGAAATTGAAGCTCTTCTGCAGCGAGATCCATGGCTGAGATTAGGGTTTGTGGAGAGATTGAGGAAGAATGTCAAAGGAGGTGACTTTTTTTGAAGATCTGATGGAATTTTTTTCAGAGAGATCTCAACAGAGAGAGAGAAAGGACAAGGAAGAAGGTCACGAAAGAGGACAAGAAGAAGGTCACTTCATGGTTAAGAAAATTCCTCTTTCTTGGAAACAAAAAAAATGCTAAATTTAGAATCAAAGACACGACGAAAAAGAAAAACAGGGTCAAAAAATTATTTTTTAAAAAAATTAATACATACAAATCGATTGTTTTTTTTTTGTCAATTCAATGATTAGATTAGTACTCTAATTTAGAGGGAAATAGTTAAAAAAATATTCATAAGACAATAATTTAGGTAGAAGCCCCTTTGATCTATTGGTTGACTAAGCATCTATATTAACATTTTTACAGTACTTTTTTGCTTTAATTCTTTTGGATCCGGGTTTGACCCGGTTTAATTCTGTTCGGATCTAGAATAAGAGATTTAAGGGATGTTGTCTTAATTTCAAACTAATAAATGAAGCCATGTTGTCTTTAATTCTTCTACTTATTTTTACCAAAATCAATTCAAATAACATCTCTCATACCTTAAGTATATTTTCGCCAAATGCAATCTCCGTCGTTCCTTTATTTTCGCCAAGGCAATCTGCATTAAAGTTATTTACAGTATCTGTCAATTTAAATTCCTTCCAAATATGTTTTGATGCTCTACTAAGCTATTATTTCGCACTTGACATATTCATAAACTATTTCCATAATCAAATATCGAAATGATGCTAATAATACCTAATTGATTCTACTAATATTTACACAATCAAAACAAATAACTGCTCACAGACCATATCATGTCTATTTAAATTACTTCCAAATATGTATTTCCCTCTACTAATTGAATTTATGTTTCCCGCCTATCCTCTGTTCATATCATTCCAGAGTATCTTTACATTATCTTCTCCTTCCCAAATATTTCTGATGTCACATCCT